CACTGGGGGCCCCCGGTTCTGCATGGACTGTCCCCTCTGCTCCCTCCCTCTGCCCTCCACAATCAGGAGCCCCCCGAGACGGCGGGCGGCGGAGGCGCTGCCCGCAGACGGCTGCACACCGCCCCGCGAGGACGCCGAGCGCGCGTTCGCTCGGCTGGAACCGGCGGCCGGTGCCTCCGCGGACGCCGGAGCCGGGCCCGGGGGAAGTGCTCTCCAAGGCCCGCCGGCTCTGGAACTGCTTCCTCCCCCCAGAGACGGGGGTGGCTGCCTACACGGTTGGGCTTGAAGGCCAGCGGGGCATGTCTCCCCTCCTTGGCATCCTGCCTCATTTCTCTGGACCTGAGAAGTTTTCTGATCTTTAGGAATATCCTATGAAAATGAAAGCCATGTTTTTAGGGATCGCTGCGTTTCAGGCCTTCACCCCCAGCGCCAGAGCTGACAACCCCTTAGCGGAGTCTCCTAGACATGGGCCAGGCAGGAAGGAGGGGCAGGTTTTGCTGTGGAATTAGGTGTGGGGGGAGCAGTCTCTTCTCTGGTAGACAGTCCAGGAAGGAGGTGGCCTTCTTGGTCATTGGACCCAGAGCTGCCTGGGACAACTTTAAACTCTGGCCCCTGTGGGTGTGAGGGAGGTACCAGGATGGTTGCTCTTACTCCAACCCAAGCTTGGCCAAATGGAATCCAGGTGTTCACTTGTGGGCCCCTCGTCCAGCCCCCAAATACACTCAGGACATCGCTCCTCCCTCCATTTGTCCAAAGACACGTTCCCAGCCACTTAAATAGCCAAGCTCCCTGCCCATGTTCTAAACTTCTCTGCATTAAAATAAATAAGCTTGCTCTCTCTCTCTCTCTTCAACTGTAGAACCATTCTTTGGTCATTTTTGTTGTAATCTAGAAAGAAATTTAATAAAAAATTGGAAGTCTACTTTTGGCCATAAAGCTATCTGAGGGAACACTGCCTATTTTTGTAAGAATATGTGAATTCTATCCTGAGTGAAAGAGAAGGAAAAGTAATCGACTAGTAAGGCTAGTGACAACTTTAATCCCATAATTTTTCAGACTCTGGGTCCTCTGCTCCTGACGATTTGCTCTGGCTGGCACACCACCTTCACACCCTCCTGGCTAACCAACAGTCTACTACACACTTGCTTAGGAGGACCAGTTGGGGGTGAGTCTCATGAGATTACAGTCAACTTCTCTGATCACAAGTGCCACTGGTTCCTGTGGTCCTTGAGAGTCACCCTCCGGCTGTCTACCAGCACACCTGGTTGGAAAAACAACACATGGAGTTTCTGGGGAGAAGGGTTTGGGTAGAAAGTCAAATAGTAAACAGAGCATCTCACCCAGAGAGAGGTGTACCCAAAGTGTCCACGTTCAGAGACCCCAGACTGCCTGCTAACCTCTCATTGTTCAGCCCCTCCTCAGATACCATCCAAGCCTCCTCCACAATTCTTGTGGCAGCATCCGGGGGACCCCTGCCTCCCTCTCCAGCAGACTTCCATGCAGAAGAGAAGGAGCCAGCGCAGGTCCCACAAATGAATCTCCAGGACTCCTCATCCCCTGCCCAGTTAGGGGGTCCTGTTAAACAAAAGGCTTCATATCTCAGTTGAAATCTTATATTTGGATTATTGCCCCCAAGAACAACAGATGGGTATATATTCCACATTCCTTTGATTAAAGGATCTTTCTGATGACCTTTCCAAATAAAGAAGACATCTGCGAAGGATCCGTGCTTTGGAAGGGATCAATAACAGAGAAATATTTGTTGGAAAGAAATGGATGAATGAATTATTGTCTTCAAGATGGCATCCCCACACATTAATTTTATTTTCATTCACTTACAATCTGAATTTTAAAAGTAAAAGGGCTGAATTAGCCCTTTATAAAGACTAATTTATAAAAGATGAATCTGTAAAATGAAAAAATAACAGCAATGTGTCATGAACTATAAAGATAGATTCTATCAAGGAGAAAAAGTAGATTTCTGGCTGAATATTTCTAATAAATAAATTTGCCACAAATTTAAAGGTTCATATGTATGTTTCCCATCCAGCCTGGAGAATGCAGCCCCAGCTGGTGTTTTCTGACTGTACTCTAAACCTTTTTAAGATTCTAAAATGAGAATCAGTGACCCACAGAGTCAAGCTTGTTAAAGATGCTTGATAATTGTTTTTTAAATAAATGAGGGACTGTGCATTACACCTAACATGTACCAAAGTTCAATAAAGTTTCACTTTTAAAAGTTAGCATTAAACGTGCTTCTGTTCCATTAAATTCAAAGCGATATGAAAATCAAGAGAAATGTCTCAGCTTCTATTTCTGCCTGAGAGAAGGTGGCCACATTCAAGATACGTAAACCAACAAATAGGCTTCCAGCCAACACATGATTCCACGCACATCAGTAAGGGTTGGTGCGCTCTTATTTTAAAAGCAGAAGTTCTGTTTGAAGTCCATTTGATAATGTTTCTGGTTTATAAAAAGGACATCTTAGAAGGGGATAGAAAATCAGAGCCACTTTTCTAGCTGGATGTGGGGACGGGAGCCTGCAGCAATGAGAAGGCTCTGCAGCAGAACTCAGCGAAGAAAGGAGGAGACTGAATGTTCATTAAGCCCCCTCCTCCAGGAGCCACTTTGCTAAGTGCTATTTCACTTAACCTTTCCCATGATGCTATGAGGCAAGAATGTTTCTCTCCTTTTTACAAATGAGGAAACTAAAATGGTGTGTTCCAGGTCACCCAGCCAGCAAGCGGCCATCAGATTTCCAACCGTATGACCTGCAGCCTTAACACCAAGGGCAGGAAGCCCAGCTCGGCATGTGTGTCCTAAATCATTAACCCTTTCCTTTGGCATTCTACCAGCTTTTCTAACTAAATTAGAGAAAAGGTACCACTGCATTTTATAGTATGATCAACTATTTAAGTTGCCACAGACTTGGTAAGAAGGAACCCTTGTTTTCAGATTTGAAATGGAATAGGCTGGCTGCTCTTCTATATAATTAAATGTTGAATATGACTGAACATGCAACACTTAATAAGTAGCCCGTTCTCCAGGCCAAATGTTACTTGACATTAATAGATATAAATGAGGATCAGCATTCCAAGTATTTTCTGCAAAAATTTTTTTTTACCAGCTCAGGCTCCCTTTGCCTGGGTAGCATTTGCAACCGTGCCTTCCACGATGGGTGCAGTGTACCAAGATAGAGACAGTTCTTGGACCAAAGGAGTCAAAGTGCGTACTAGACCTCGTCTACTCCAAAACCAGATTTTTGAAGTAAGCACTCAGCTGAGCGATTGTATGTAGACCACTTCATGTGCAATGTGTCATCACTCTAAAGCACATCGACACACGGTGTTTTCAGAGATTATGAAAATTTTATTAACAAAGAAAATCTGCATCATCCGCATTCCCCTGAAAAACAACCACCTCAGACGGGTAGAAAACACTTCTTTTATTCACTATACCCTCAAAGCCAGCAGAATGAAACCACAACACCAAAGCATAGTCCAATATTTTGGATCGGGTTGATCGTTTGAGATAATTAAATACTAGAAAATTAGATCGTTTGAGATAATAAAATACTAGAAAATTAGATAATAAAATCAGTCAAGGTGTTCATTTCCCAGGCTGAGGCTTTATCCAAACAAATGATTCCACTGTGAGTCAATATACGTGGCCATCAGCTCTTTGTAACACTACCCTGAATATACACGGCATACATCTAAACTCATGATGGATCTCCTTGAGAACAGTAAGACCTGAGGGCCAGCATGATTTACAGAAATGTACGGCTACGGAGCAATAGTTCAGTGACAATCACTAGAACATGTAAAAGGTGTGCTTCATGATAGAATGTGATTGGTTTCTCAGGGCAACTTTTTAGTTCATTTCTGATTATCATTAAGTGATCTACTGCTGTCCCTCATAATCTCCCTTGGATACTCTCCATCCCACCCTTTACTGAAAAAAAAAACTGTAAACATATTCCAGATACACTGCGTATGCAAGAGAGGAAGTATGAGAATATTAACAGATTC